AGCCCGAGCTGGGCCCGGCTCGGGCTTTTTCCGAGCCGAGCCGAGCCGAGCCCGAGCCGCCGAGCTTTTTTGCCACCCCTAAACTAGGCAATTTGGTTTAGTTGGATCCTAGTTAAAATTTAGGGAAAATTGCAACAGAAGTCACAAAACTTTCATTTTGTTGCAGAATACACCTCAACCTTTCATTTTTGCGGACGTGGTCCCAAATCTTTCACTTTAATGGCAATCGGAGTCCATTAGAGAGATTTTGTCCAAAAAAATTTTAGTCAACACTGAAATTTGAATTTTGACTCAAGTTGATAAATTAAATGAAGGGTAAAATAGTAAAATTATATATTTTTATAATAAAATAATTAAAACATTAAATCAAAACAATAAAAATAAAAAAATGTGAATTGATTTTCTCCAAACTCTCCACCCAAAGCATTGGAAGATAAAGATTTTCAAAAATTAGACCAAATGGTGTCAACCACAAAAAACTCAATAAATTCAAGAAAACCGTCCCACCCGCCAAAATAAAAAACCAGAACCCAGTAAAGAGTAATGTTATTCATCCCCACTAGATTGAGCTGCAGTCTATGTGGCAATCACATATCATTAAATGATATATTTATTTAAATACAAAGTCACATGACTCATTTAATTGAGTCTATCATTTAATGTCATGTAATTGTCATATAAATTGAGGCTTAACCCCACTGGGCATAAATGTCATTATTCCCCGATAAATGGAAGAAAACCCTCATTCAATTCTATCAAATCCACCAATACCTTTCTTAATTAAGATCATTTAACTCTACACGCAAATTCGGAGCAATCTTCACTTTAATCCAAGCACCAATTTTTGCTACTTTGTACAGGTTTGGGAGATATAGTTTTTCTTCAGTTATGCCAGCTTAACAGTTTTTGAAACAAATTAATATTAGACTTTTCTATTTTTATGGGATTATTCGTACCCCAATACTTCAACAAGTACACCGCTATTAAGGGATGTGGTCCTGCCCATGCATTCGGGAGATGGATATTTTTGTATTTGTTTGACTTGAATGAGAGTTTTCTTGATTTGTTTGGTAATTAACATGATGTTATGGGTTTAGAAGACTGATAAATTTAGGATCCATTTGATTAAGAAGTTGTTGGAGACTTGTATTGAAGTGGCGATGGTGGACGGTACACTAGTGACGATGGTGGTTAGACGGTGCGACCGTGACTGGGCTCTGAATTTTCATTTTGAGGTGGGGTGGGGTGGGGTGGGGTGGGGGTAGGGGTGAGAGGGTTTGGAGAAGATGAAGTTTATTTTTATTTTTTTTGGGGTTTTATATTTAATTGTTATATCATAGAAAATATAAATTTACTATTTTACCCTTCATTTAATTTGTCAATTTAAGTCAGAACTCAAATTTCAACGTTGACTAATGGAATTTTGGATGGAATCTGTCCAATGGATTCCGACGCCATCCAAGTTAAAAGTTTGGGACCACAGCCGTAAAAATGAAAGGTTAAGGTGTATTATTCAACGAAATGAAAGGTTCGGAACCTTCGCTGCAATTTTCCCTAAAATTTAACTGTTTTGACTATTACAATTGAGAACTAGATAGTTCTAATTTGGTCTTAGTTGTGACTACAAAATCAAAATAATTTGAATTCATAATTATTATTTTATGATCTCTCAATTAAATTAACTACGAAATCAATTAATACAAGTTCTAAATACAAGAATTAATGGGTATTCAAATCAATCAACACTTTTACACAAAGTAGAACAAAAACTTAGTACATTGTTTACGTTTTTCGCCATTCAAAAATCCCCAACATTAACGTGATTCACCCAAATTTCATCAAACCAAATGGGAAACTCCAATGAAAGCACCCCATTCCAAAAAGAAAGGGATCTTGTTGTCTACTAAATAGGCAAAGTGAGGTATTCGTAAAGGATAGACTTTAAGCCCGATCAAACTTATTTAGGCAAAATTTCATACTTTACACCACCCGGAGTTATAAATATCCCAAAATGTGCTTCTAATGAATTATTTTTTTAAACCTCGTATCCTCATAAGCTAATATATATTTTTTCCCTGTTTGATTTATCTAAAAATAAGAATTTTAGTAGATTTTAATAAAAGTTGATGAAATAAAAGTTGATGAAACGTATAGTCAGAAAGTGGATCCAAACAGGGCTTTAGTTTACACTATTAACAACGTTATGGCAACACAAAACACGCTTTTAGTTGCGCACTCACGCTGCAGCGCTTACGGCTGGACCTTATCCCCTCGCTTCCTTTCTTCCTGGATTACCACCACCACATACGAGTCACCCCACCCAAAACACCGCCAGCTCCACCGTTCACCGCCCCTCTCTTTATATATATATATATATAATATTTCCACCATTCCTAGAAGAACCAAAAAGAATGTCAGCTTCTTCTGTTACACTTTCAGTGGCAGCTACTGCCACCACCATTTCCAATCCCTCAAACTCAATTCACCATTTCTCTCTCACCCTCACTCATTTCTTTCCCTTTAAATCAAAACCCATAAAGACTCCTAACCTCAAATCCCATTACAATCTAAATTCCCCACCTTTTTCACACTCTTTAGTATTCTGTGCATCGGCTGCATTTGATAGTGTCGAAATCACTCAAGAAGAGACTCAAGAAATAGTACCAGAACTAGAAGTTGTTGAAAAGGGTGAAGACGATGAAGGAGTGGAATCACAGTCAGCTGAAGCTGGTAGATTGTACGTGGGCAATTTGCCATTTTCAATGACTTCTTCGCAGTTATCAGAAATTTTTGCAGAAGCTGGTCGTGTTGTTTCCCTGGAGGTCAGCTTTTCGCATTTTCTTGATTCTTAATTTACGAGTAGAGAGTAGTTGATTGTTTGGTTACTTGTCAATGTAACCAATTCGTGCGTTATCTCTTCGTATAGTTGATGTGCGTCCTCTAGATAATTCATTCTATCCAAAGAAATACTTACGCGAGTTACTTATCCTTAGCAACATCGACAAGAATTCCACCCTAAGTGCAGAATTACTTACGTTGAGTAGAGAGTAGTTGATTGTTTGGTTACTTGTCAATGTAACCAATTCGTGCGTTATCTCTTCGTATAGTTGATGTGCGTCCTCTAGATAATTCATTCTATCCAAAGAAATACTTACGCGAGTTACTTATCCTTAGCAACATCGAGCATTCCAACTTTAGTGAATTACTTACTTAAGAGCCAATGAAGAACATTTGCTTTTCACTTCCAAATTTGACATCTTATCCGTTGGTTCTCACTCGGCTTAGAGAAAAGAAGAGTTGGTTTCGAAAACAGGAGATTCCATTGTAAACAATAAAAAATATTGTATTTCTTTGTTTTTTCTGTCTCAATTATATAGTTCATTATTCAATACATTGATGCTTCTTTGGTTTTTGTTCGCCTTGTGTGTATTACGCGACCAAAATTTTAACAGAGCATTATCAAATTTTAACCACAATTCACAGAGTTGTATTATTAGAAGAGAAGATGAAGAGTTGACAAGGTTGAACTGGTAATATTGGTGGAATTGTTCTACCAAAGATAAAAAGAAAAGAAAAGATTAAGATATTGCCCTTCATTCTTGTGTTTGCTGGTTTCAACATGCATAGATGGGATTTTAATCGACTTTCTGCAGTTTCTATTTAAAAATTATTGTGATTTGAGAAATGGGACTTTTAGTTATATGTAATTTGGAATGAGATATTGCAGTGAAACTGGATTTGTTCTGTGGCTGTTTTTTTTTTTTTTTTTCCTGAAATTGGGATTGAAATAGTTATGAGATCATGCTGATTTTTTCCTTTCATAGATTGTCTATGACAGAGTTACGGACAGGAGCCGAGGATTCGCATTTGTTACAATGGGCAGTGCTGAGGAAGCAAAAGAGGCAATTAGGCTGTTTGATGGATCTGTAAGTGTCAGTTCTTAGTCATACACATACTGTGCTTGCTGGTGATGACGCAACTGATGTGTTTTCTATAGCTTAAAAATGTATATGTACCTGCTAGTTGGAATATTTCGTTGAATTATTCTTGAACTCATGCGGCCCTTAAAAATATACATAAATAGCATCAAAAAAAGAGATAAGAAATGCATATAACATGAAATTAGTAACTAACCAACATTTGAGATTGGCATCAGTATATCTCCTAATTGCTTTCATATGATAAGCTTTACTAGTTTTCCGATTGGTAATTGCTTATTGTTTGCTGCTATGAAGTTTAGTTAAGAATTCCTTAGTACTTGGCTCTGGAAAGTGTTCACTGGATGAATTCCCTGAGTCGATGACGGAATACTGGTGGTTACTATAGTCTATAGAGTAATCTAGACGACCCTTGAACTTGTGGTGATTCTGCAGATAGAAATTAAAAAATCTCCTATACTTGCATTCTAATATATGCTCGTTTATATCTTACAACTTTCTTTTATGAGAAAAAATTGTGGTTATTAAGCTTGAGGACATGAAGAAATACAAATCACAAAAAATATCAAGACCATGAGATGAAGCTCCCAGCTATACATGTTTTGTACTGATTCATTTTCCTACTTCAATATACACATAAAATATGCTTACAAATACGGAGGAAGGAAACTGCAAAGATATGTTAACATAGTGGCTTTCAGAACTGAAGTCAGGGCTGGCATATCCGCAAGTGTTAATGTGTGTTCTAACCCTTGTATTTCCAAAATTGAAATAATTCTTTCTTTTTTCCTTGCTTCTACCCAAAACTAATCAGTATATGTTATCGGATTGTGACTTACAATAATGCTTTCTACTGCTCTGTCAAAAGCAAATTGGAGGACGAACTGCTAAGGTGAACTTCCCGGAGGTGCCTAGGGGAGGTGAAAGGGAAGTAATGGCTCCAAAGATAAGAAGCAGCTATCAAGGTTTTGTAGATAGCCCCCATAAGATATATGCCGGGAACCTCAGCTGGAACCTTACGTCTCAAGACCTAAGAGAAGCTTTTGCAGATCAGCCAGGATTCCTGAGTGCTAAGGTAATCTACGACCGGGACTCCGGAAGATCTCGAGGTTTTGGCTTTATAAGTTTTGCGTCTGCTGAAGAAGTCGAATCTGCACTGAATGCCATGAATGGAGTGGTATGTTTGACTTAAAAATTGTAATTCATTTGTCCGTAACCTTCCGTGCTTATGCTTGTTGATGTCTCTACTTTTCTATGCAATGCAATTAGGAGCTCGAAGGCCGGCCACTAAGGTTAAACTTGGCGGAACAGAGAACTCCCATATCTCCTCCAGAGGCTATTCGTAGTATTTCAGATAATGATCTGGAGAACAGTGAGATTCTTTCGAGTCTTGGTACTTGAGGTACATAATTGGTACGTCGTACTGGATTGGACAGGACTTGAAGTATAATGAACAAGATTTTGGGTTATTTTCTTTATCAAAATAGTCAAGTTCTATCTAATACTTAATAACTTAACGTACCAGAGGAGTACAAAGAAATCTGGAGTTGTTCATATCAGCGAGAGGATAGCAGAGAGCAGAAAGCATGCAAAACTTGCACGATTTTGTCAGTGCATGCCTTGGGTTCTATTGTATTTATAGTATAATTTTCTGTACTCTTCTAACAAGTTATATTGAGATCGTGTCATTATTAAGAAATGAAGTTTCTTTGAATATACGGAAAATATATTCAAGCCACCTAAATTGTTCTTTTCTTAATTTATGTTCAGATGATGCCTCGTACCCGTGTTAGCATATGCACTTCATCTGTTCAAGAACAAGAGAATAAATTAACAGACAAAAATATATAAAAAAAAATGGAGGCAAAATCCTAATATTTTTATTTAATGCTAAAAACTAGACAGTGGTAGTCTTCAAAAAGAAATCATAGAATTTCATTAAAAGTACACAAAATTCTTCAAAAATTAAACATTAAGCTCATAGCAATCCTTCTTTACTGTATCATCCACCTTAAGAAACTTATTTTGTGTCACAAAGATGCTCAGAGAAGTTTAGTTGATCCTTGGCCAGCAGATATGATTGAAAAATGTATCACAGCACAACTGCTATTTTTCATATTCGACAGAAAGAAATAGACTTCAAATGGTGTCGTCACCACCAGCAAGAAGCGAATCTGCTGCAGAGTCCAAATCGTGTGGGAAGAAAACCCTGTACAAGTTATGCACTCTTTTAAAAGAACTGGAGCACAGGGAGGTCGAGAGGAACTATATATGCTTTCATACAGCATGCTTGCACAAATTAAATTAATACTTTGAGAGTATTTTTTTCCATGGTGGTTCTTAAGAATGCCATATATCCAAGATACATCCAGATCAAGAAAAGGCATTTCCATTATATTAGAGCAATTTCAAGAATGTAAAAGGATGTCGATGAAAAGTTACCTGCATGTATTGTGATATATCTTCTTGCTCAGTTGATCTATGTCAGCAATGCCTTTACAGCCAGCTACAACCTCAAGTACTTGCCTGGAGATTATCGCCATGATGTTTAAGAGTAAATTTCAATACAAATCTATAATAAACACGAAAAAATTGTCTATATTGTAGGCGGATTAAATTTCATGAGTATATCATATAATAATACTCCCTCCATTACTCGAGATTGTCCCCTTCAACATTTAACGAAAATTAGGAAAAATATAATAAGTACTTCATCATTTGTCCCATTTTTCCATTTCATTATTAGTATAGTCGAAAGAAAAGAATGACAGCAAGCGAATATGTTAATGACAGTATTGAGTTGCTCTGATTATTATAACTTGCTACAGCTTTCCTGGTAAGATAGATATGTTCACCAGCATGCTGCCATGTTAGCAACTCGTTTACAAATCATTAGTTCTGGAAAAATCACGATACCAATATGCACTGATACCTAAACACAACTATGACACATATAGTTGATAAGAATCCATCATATCATGTGTTGCCAATAGCATGGGCAATTGCTATGGAAGGAGGAGCGTAATTCACTATCATATGTATACTATGGTAAGCCGGTAAAATTCTTAAATTACAAAGCTAGTATATAGAAGAAGAATTCTACTTACAGGAATGATAATTCTTCGAAAACAGAAATTGTGCTGAATAAGTTATAACAGGATGTAACTGATATCATCTAACTCAACGAGATTTTATGCATGAAAATTCAGATAAAGTAATTTGAGTGCATTGAAAGCACTAAGTTAAATGATGGTGTCGATTGAATCTATTGAAAAGAATAATGTTTTAAAAAAAATTGAATCTATTAATCTACGCATCCGACTGTTTCTTATGGGTCAAAAAGTTCTCTCAATAGAACATATCCCTCCTAATACACTTCCATTTCATTTTTTTCCGAGAATAGATTCGGTAGGACGGTTCTATATGCCTACGTGGCACACCCACCTTACACATGGTCATTTGTATCATAATTAATTCTTCCTCTTACATTTTTTTCAGAACACACACTCCAATGATAACCAAGTCCTTCAAATTTAATTCTTACTCTCTTTATCTCACTAACATTTTACTGAAGGTAGTTTTTAACCCTTATTTAGTTTTCAAATAACGAAAATTAATTCATTATGCCTCTGTTTGGTGTAGATTAAAATATACTAAAAATCCCAAGTCAAAGTCAACAATTAATTTTAATCACAAATTTCATGGTACAATTTTTCAACCACACATTTTATCAACTTTTATCAATATCTACTAAATACCTTATTTTAATCTACAACAAACATGGGCTATATATTGCACATGGCATTTTTTATGATTCTTTATCAGTGATTGAAAACTCTCAACATTTGGGTGAATAGAATCTTCACCATATTCAGAAAAAAATAAAAAATAAAAAAAATTATATATATATATATATATACACACACATACATACACACAATAAACAAGGTTTTAACATTTACTCTCATATTTGCATGAGTTTGTTTTTCTTCGCTTTTATTTTTATTTTNTGACATTTACATTTGAATGCAATAAACAAATTCCCTTCATCAAATTCACGAGAACCCAAAGTTATTGAACCCCTTGAATCACTTTTCCATCTCCCTGTGGATACGACACCCCAAAGCTATACTACAACACCGCGTAACACTTTGGGCGTAATCAGTCTCTATCCACATTAGTTAAGTTCAAAAAGAAGTAAAAATTACTTTTCACATTATTTTGTGTCAATATAATCATAAAAGTTACTATTTTATGAACACAAATTACATTTATGAAAAGTAAGCCCTTTTTTGAGTCTCATTCTCTAAAAAACCATTTTATCCAAACTCATGTTCAATTACACATTCTCCCAATAAAATAATTTTGCAAACTCAAAATTTTTCCTTACTTTTCAACCATACATTCTCTAAAAAATCACTATTACAAAACTCATTTTCACAAAAAGTGGGGTTCAAGTAGAGCCTAAGTTTTAATTTTCTTTTTAAATAACTAAATTTTAATTTCAACCAAACGTCTTAACTTGTCTAGAAAACTTGGTTAAAAAAAGATTTAGGAGTTTTCAGATAAAAAACAAGGATTAAAAATTAAATATGGTGAAAAGTAAGATACAGAAATATGGTAAAAATGAAATCCAACACAAAAGACACGTAAATTTGAGTGGGTGGTTTAGAAGAAATTAAGAAAGAGAAACAAAGCAAAACTTAATTAATTATGACAAATGACCACGTTTCGTCATAAGAGTGAGTAGGGTACCACAGAGGCGTATAGGACTGTCCTACCGAAGCTTTTATTCATTTTTCCACACAGATAAAGAAGCTAGGCATAATATCGGTAGAATTTGTAAAGTTTTAGTTTTCTGGAACCAAAAATTGTAATGTTACTAAACATACCACTCTGTATTTCATAGGGAAACTAGTAGTAATTATGCAAATTTCAAATATGAAATTTGCTGGTAATAGGAACTTGCAAACATAAAGACTCAAATGTCACAATTCATAGCATTTAGGCACTTCTGTTTCAACTTAATTCCTAATAACAAGAGTTCTCAGAATGGACATATATAGGATAAAATATGTACATAACAAATATTTATGTAGCAATATGCATGTTTTGCCACTCACCGTACTAAACATGGTTCATTGCGACCTTTGACGGTGGAGTCTGGATCGTACTTCTCTTTTTTCTTAGAAGGCCACAAGGATTTCACGTAACTAATCCCTGCATGAGTGTTCTTGATTTCACAGTATGGCGAATCTGTTTCAATCATCATTCTTTCAACAGGAATTCCCTTTACAACATCCAGATTCTCAGCAGTCTTGAGAGAGCAGCCATTTACACCTGCATAAGAATGAGGACAGAAAAAAGGGGGGAAACAGGAAAAAAGAAATAATCAAGAACCAATTGAGTTGATAAAATATTTGCAGTGGAACAGCTTTAAAAATCAAGAAGTATGAGAAGAAGTGCATTAACCTATAAAAAGATTATTGAATGAAAGTAGTCTGTCACGATCTTCAGCACTACCAGTAAAAGAGTGTGCAACCCCCGAGCAGAACCTGCTGGCAAGGAAACAAATGTGACAAAATCTGCAGATCCCAACATGGCATTGGAAAAGAAAAAATATACTAATAAGTTATAATGTAAAAAATTTAGAAAACCGGTCAACGGGCCGGCGGGCTTTAACCAAAAACCGGGGTCCCCAGTTTAGCTGACCGACCGTACTGGCTGGACCAGTTTTAATAACACTGCGTATGAAGCGTATAACACATCATGGATAGCATCATTTGTTAAGTCCACACTTCACCTATGATTATTTCGTTCAAGAATGTGGCAAAAATCTTCGGCAGCTGCTCGCATGTGGAGAAACATTGGCAGCTTCATGGCCCATGCTAATTCAAATTGCTTCTCGAAGTACCTAATTTTTAACAACATAAAATAGAATTAAAATTTAGAATTATGGAAAAGAAACAGAATGTCCCGAAAAAGATGTTCAGAAAAGGAAATAAAGAATCAAATTTCTCAAGAAAACTCCCCTTCAACTTCTTTCATCCAAGGAAACAAATGTAAAGTAAAAGCAGGAGAAGAAAGTAAAAACAGAATTATACTTGAAGCAAACACATACTTCTTTTGTAACTCAGATGGGCAAAAGTGAAGCCTGTCATAATCCAATCCGCATTCGCCAATTGCCACCACCTTTCTTGAAATTATTTTTCCGTGTTAAGACAAATGACAAATAAAGCCAATCAACATGATAGGAAATTTGACTTGTATGCCAAGAAGAATACACACAAAACTAGCAACTGATATAGCAAGGGGTTTATATCCACGAGGTATTTCCAAAGAAAATATGTGATGTAGTGTCCCTATGGACAATATTAATTTCTACATCATTAAAGTTAATTTTATCTATGTATAAGCCCAGTGTTAAAAAAAAATAAAAAGTTGTCCTCCCGTGGCTCCACCTCAGATCCATATGCTCATGTGTGCATACACACACACATACTTGTAGAACACATGCTAAAACCAGGGGCGGACCCACATGGAGTCATGTGGGGTCAAATGACCCCACAAATAATTTGAGTTTTTTTTTTTTTTTTTTGTTAGAACTTGTGAGAGAAAGAGTGCATGGAGAGAAATAGTCAATTAAGTGGGAATATTATATTATTTAATCAATTAAGTAGTTTGTGTAAAATTATATAAATTCAAATTTTGTTCAACAATTNCCCCTAAATAATTGCATATGTTGTTGTTGCAATTTATTATTTTCTTGTAGCATTCATTGGATATCACACATTTGGGATTATCGTTGATGACAATATTCTTCTTTCACTTGAAAAATTCAACCGATTTGTTGCAATGGCTAACACGTTCGTTATTGTTCATGTATTGGAAAATATCAGGTAAATCTTTTTTTTTTTTTTAAAAGTTCCTGCTCGGATTTATTCAACGAGTTATATTTTATAGTGTTTATTCATATTTAGTTTTTGAAAACCTCATGTATATGTCATACTGATGTTTGACATAATAGAAAATTGGAGTGTAAGGCAGGACAAGGCACGATCGAGCGCCAATAACTGAAATCTATTGTCCTTGGAACGCCCGAGTTTCACTCGAGCGTCCTTAATTTTTGACCCCACAGTAAAAATGGTCTAGGTCCGCCCCTGGCTAAAACATGCAAGTGTGTGGGTGTAGGTTTATGTGCATGTATGCAGAAATGATGCATGAGGAACTGAATAAACAATATGCTCAGTTATTTGGGCTTATGTTGCAAGGAAGAGTAAAATTTATGTGTTAACAGTATATATTTGTCAAAATGCTTCGACAAACTTGTTTGTACCAGTCGCCAGGTATGAAAGGTATTTCAGGTTGCCTTGATATTTCTACAAAGGTAATAAATTAAAATATGTTTGAAAACAGAATAAAGCATACCTTGCCTTTCTCAACTCCCGCTTTAGCCAATGATACCAGAGCCTCAAAATGTTTATCCGGATCACCACTGTCATCAAATTCCTGATTAACAAGAATCAACTATCACAACACCTCCAGGATAAGTATCTCAGGGTTGTGTATATAGCAAAACTTGGGCTGGCAATGAACATATACTATTGAGAATAAAAATCTCACTTTGCATCTTGTTGGGTGTACACCAACTGTGCAGAAAAGTCTTGCTGCCATAATTAATTGAATCCAAGATTAGAGAAATCATACAAAGGAGAAGGAAATAAGCTGAAAACAAAAACAGCCGGTAAAACTAAATATATAGCGTAGAATGGTATCTGTAGACGGACCATCAGTTTCTGCAATAGCAAGAGCTTCTTTTGATTCCTCAAGGGAGCCACCAGTCACCTGGAACAACGAGCTTGACCCAAATTACAAATTTTCAGAGAAACCACAGATGGAGATAAAATGAAAGCCACTTATTATACAGCTTAAAGTTTTGGATTACAGCTCAAATTCATATTATATCATTACCGGATCAAGTTAAATATTACTAGCTCAAAGACCAAAACTGCTTTTGAGCTTCAACACAGAATAGAATTAACTGTGCAGCTTTAGTAAAGACAAAAGATTTGGGTTTTCAAATTTGTTTCACTTCCCAAATTTACAAAAGGGCAACATAAATAAACAAGATGAAAATGAAGTAATAATTTTTTTCATCTCGTGACCTTAATTTCATCATGTATTTCATCTTTCACAACTCCAAATTGATTCAACAGATACTCTACTGATCTCATGAGTCTTTTTTAGCCATTGCATTCTTTTCGTTCTTAAATCAATTGGGAGTTCTAAAACAATTAAATCCTTAGCAACTGTGGCAGCCCACCTCAATTTTGGTCTAACCCCTCCCTCGCTGACCAAAAATTCCATTTGTTCCAAGATCAACTGGAGATCTAAAACAACTAAATCCTCATAAACTGCCACTGGCCATGTTAATTTTGGTCTTCCTCTACCCTCACTTTACCGAAATTATGTAACTCTTACAAAACAACATAAATAAACAGGGAAAAAAAACAAAAAAGTTCACAAATTTCTTGCTGAAAAGTCTACGGAGAGAAGAATTTACGATAATTCGATCCACGCCAGCACTCCAAGCCCTGCTAAGCACTGCTGGAATATCAGCTACATGATATTGCTTCCCATTGTATAGTCCTCTAAACATACTATCTGCATTTATTCCGCATTAAAATTTTATGAGTATAAACAAATTCAAGAAAACAGAAATCAAAAAATGAAATATAATGCGATCGCTAACTCACCTGTGAAATTAACTGCTACATCTGTTCTTGAGTAATCATATCAGAAGAACAAAAAGAAAAAAGAAATGATTTAGTGAGTTTTTCAATACTCATTGGAAACTCGAAAATGATGTTAAATTGCTTGCCTATCATTCGTGTGCTCGCCATGGCTGTGCTAGAGAGAGAAAGGGAGACTGTGTGAGAGAAAAAAACAGAACCTTTTTGTTTCCCTTCTCCCTCAATCTCTCAATTAAGGTCTATTTGAGGGTTTTTTTCCTTTTTTCTTCTTTTTTTGTGTGGGAAAAATAGGTTTTGAAACGGCGATTTTTCTGGATAACGAGTAATTGAAATATATGAAAAAAAAAAATTTTGAATTTATGTGTAAAATTATTATATAAATATACGTGATTAAAAATGAATTTTGAAGAAAATGAATTTTGAGAAAATGAAGATAAAAAATAGGCTAAATGGGATTACAAAATTAGGAATGGACTCCCCCAACCTTTCACATAGCATCGAATCGGCTCCACAATATTTAAAAGGGAGGTTCTAGCTCAATCTATTGAATGTGAATTCGGGCCTTCAAGACGGAAATTGTTACCTTAAACGTTAAAGTCACACGTGATACATGCATGACTTAACTTTGACGGGCAAATTTTATTTTTCCCCAAATGTTAAAGTCGCGCTATTGATAAAGGTTGGGGAGCCCAGCCTAATTTTTCCGAGAAAAAATACAATGTCTCCCCAAACTATTTGAAATAGAGCAAATACGTGCTCAGTCTTTAATTTATACCAAGTAAGTCCTTAACATTTCAGTTGTATATCAAGGCTTTTTATTTTTTTTAAATTTTTATCAAGGCTTTATTGAACATTGAAAAGTTACATAACTTCTACACGACAATTTATCTAAAAGCTAATTTGAAAATGTCACCAACATATCTATCAAATCTCAATTATAGCGAGCGCATCCCAATTCTATTCGCACCCTACCTCGTCGTCAACTATTTCATCCAAGTGAAGAAAGTAAATTTATTATGATTAACGACTTAACGTCCAGAAATAATTATAAAAAAATATTGTTATGGTGATTCCTAGTCTTCGAGTGGTGTCAAGTACATGAATTTTACCTTGATTTATATAAAAAAAAAATGACATGAGCATAATTAGAAATTGTGTTGGTTTAATTAAGAAGGATAACACTATCCTTTTAATTAGCAAAATATAAGAAAATAAAAAATAGTGTCTAGAAAATAGTTATATAAAACGTTTTTTTTGCCCCTCAAAATTGTAAAGAACTTTTGGGCCCCCAGTTGAGTAGAGTATCTACTAGTCCGGTCCAGTTTATTACACCCAAACCACTACACATAAAAGGCTTTTTGATAGTCCAATACTTGAAAGGACCCAACTCAAATTAGGCCCAACCCATTTTCCATAACTGTATGTTATTAGACAATAATAAAAGAAAAAATAATTTAAAATATTATGGACGTGTTCGGTAGAGATTAAAATCGGATTAAAATTGAAAAACTAGCCGTTATTGTTGACTTTTATTAGACGGGTGGAACCCAATAATGACCATATTTTCAATTTTAATTGGATTTTAATCGAAAACAAACAGACTCTATCTAGTATATTATTTATTACTAAAATATTAAACATGCCTTTGAAACTCAAATCCATCTCAAAATCATGCTAAAATATAATATTTGATGCAACTTTAACAAATAAATGCTCGAGAACTTAAGGAGCATCCTTCAATGATGAATACGAAAGAGTTATCCTAAAAACTCTGGGATAATGATGGCTTGTTGTTGTACCCGAACGAAGTTTAATCACCTTAAATGTGCCATAGCCTCGACTCATATTTAAAAATTCATTTTTTCCATATATTTTAAAGAATTCAAAAGTATTATCCATTTATCTATTATTTACTTTTTTAAAAAAAAAAAAAAAGGGTTTTTTTTCCTCAAACGCGTTTCGTGTCTGCACAAGTAAAAGTACACGTATATATTTGTTGAATGAGAATGTTGAATTTTGAACTTCTCCTTGTGTTTTCCTTGATACTTCCTTCCTCCTTCTTTTCATACAGGAATTGTGACTCTTTTGACAAGTCTTTTCTTACCCATTAATCAAGCTTAATTAATTCCTAGCCATCATCCATATAATCAAACCTCATCCTCTTGATAATTTCAACTTCCCATTCCATTTTTCTTCCTTTTCCCTCAAATTTTAGCATATTCCCACAGTTTTTTCTTGAGCTGCTCAATTCTTATATAGCGTGATTGTGCTCGACCAAAGAAAAGAAGTCGTTCTTGTTTATTGTATTGTTCGATCCTATTCAATATTGTGTACTAGATTATCCAAAAATGAATGATCTCTTGTCATCATCATTTTCCGGTGGCCAGGATCAGTCCCACTCCATTCAGATGACTGATTTAGGCGGAGTCGATCTCGAAAAGTTTTTCAAAGACGTGGATTCTATAAAAGTCGAGCTCGACGCCCTGGAAGCACTCTACGACCAGCTCCAGGCGGCACACGAGCAAAGCAAAACGCTACACAATGCCAAAGCAGTTAAAAATCTTCGTGCGAAAATGGATAATGATGTTTCGACATCATTAAAAAAAGCAAAAGCGATTAAGGTAGGATTGCAGGCACTGGACAAGGCCAATGATGATAATAGGAGAATTCCAGGTTGTGGCCCTGGAAGTTCTTCAGACAGGACAAGAACTTCTGTAGTCAATGGCCTGAGGAAAAAACTGCAGGATATGATGAACAGGTTCAAGGATTTGAGGGAAAGAATGGCTTCCGAGTATCGGGAGACGGTGCAAAGAAGGTACGGTTGAAGACTTGAACCAACTCACACACGTGTCGGTTTGATTTATTTTCTTTAAGCAACGCTATGTTTCCCAGAAACTTCTAAATGCAGGTGTCTCCGTCTCCAAAATTCAAAGAAGTGTTTCCCATTTTTATTATTTAAAAAAATTCCGAAATTCTATGCAAATTTCTCCACATGAATGATAGTATAACTTGAATTAAGGGCTATCTATATTGAACTATCGCATCTAAAAGTTTAAAACTTCTAGAGCGTTGTCAAAATGTATTTACTTAAATTATCTTCGACAGGTACTACACGGTAACTGGTGAAAATCCCAATGAGAAAATTCTTGACAACTTAATCGAGACAGGTGAGAGCGAGACCTTCTTGCAGAAGGCCATACAGGAGCAAGGAAGAGGACAGGTAATGGACACCATTATGGAAATCCAGGAAAGGCATGATGCTGTAAGAGAAATGGAAAAGAATCTCAGGGAACTGCACCAAGTTTTCTTGGACATGGCTGTTCTTGTGGAGAGCCAAGGGGAACAATTAGATGATATTGAAAGTCAAGTTGGAAGGGCAAATTCTTTTGTTAGAGGTGGAACTCAACAGCTTCAAGTGGCAAGAAAACATCAGAAGAATACAAGGAAATGGACTTGTTTTGCGATTATTTTGTTGTTGATAATTATACTCATTGTCGTCTTGTCTATCCGGCCCTGGAAGTAGATGATTAGTCGAGGGTTGAGCACGGTGTTAGTTGTTGAATTTGGGATTTTGGTTTCGACTGTCACCCATCTTTTTTTTTCGCCTAAAATAGTTGCCCAACCTTACTAAAATGCTTCATCGAAAAACCTTTGAAACAAAACATGAAGTTGGCGACTATTTTGAAACGAAGAAAAGATATGGCAAATAGAAATCAAACCTTGAATCAACGACTGGCACAGTTTTTAACTCGACTAGTCAAACAAATGCTTGAATATAGTTCATTCCACTTAGAAAATTCTTATTTTTGATTGTTTTGATTTTCTTGAATTTGAGTGAGGCCACCCCTCTTGCCCCACCCTGAAGCCCATCTATGTTGACATGAGAGCACATTTGGGATACTTCATTATCAGAGGTAGTTGGAATGCCATTTTGTAATTGGTTTGTTTATAGTATATATTATTATGTGGAAATTGAAGTTGATGAATTGTTCTTTTTTTGAAAGTATTTTGGGCTATAGAGTTCATTTCTTTAATTTCCTCTTAACTGAATTTTATCCATGGTATTTTCTTGATGGTGTCACCCTATTTTCTATTATCAAATCATAAGTAATTTATTACAAGTCCAAAAAGTTAATTATAAGCAAGAAGTTGGCTAAAATTATGTAAATACCTTTTTAACATATTTAGTTATTCCATTTCATGTTGATTTCTTAAATCATATGTTTTTCTTACTTTAAATTTTTTTCTATTTCACGTTATGAATTGGTGTCGATCGAACAAATGATTCGTTAATCCTTAACAAATTAATGTTACATAATATTCAGATAAGAAATCCTTTAAATTTTGATAAATTAACTACCTCAAAAATATTTAGCCTGTGTTTGATTTTGCTCAAAAAATTAATAAAAATATTAGTCAAAGTCAAAAATTAATTTTAACAACACGTTTTATGAGATTCATAATTTTTATAAACTTTCAGTAACCCATCATAAACTATTATCAGGGGCGGAGCCAAGTGGGGCCTGGGGAGGGGGGTGGCCCCCTCCCATGTTTGACCAAAATTTTTTTTGTAATTACCACTTTCAACTCATTTTTCACATCGAAAATTTTGGAATTTGGATATGGCTATTTCTAGAAGAATTGTAGCCCTTCGAGTTTGCTTTCCAACGGAAATTGAATCACCACAATCGGATATCGGTAGAGAAAGTTATTCGACCAATGCAGTAGCTTTTCGCCCGATTATAATGTAGTTATATAACGTAATCAAAGTATGATTTTGCTAAATTAAAGATTAGTACTTTTTTTATACGTTCTTGATTTTTTTGTTAATAATGTATCAAAAAAAAATTCTGGGGCGCTACCCCCGAACCCCGTGGGCCCCCACCAATTCACCTCTACCTCGAGGCCCCCCCTACATTCAAAGTCTGGCCCCGCCCCTAACTATTATCAAAATTTATTAAAAAATTTAATTTTTAGCAAAATAAATCGAAATTATCATTCATATCCTAACACTTGTGCCATTAAAATAATTTAAATTACAAATAATAAAAACAAAATTATTAACTCGTATCCTTACTGGTGATTTGACATTCTGGTTTTCTGTAAGTATCGAGTCTACCAAACTGATTAAAACGAAAGTACTACTAAAT